GTCAACATGGGTGAAGGAGATTCGTATATAGAGCTTCCATTATCAACCCAAGGTATTCCTGCATTATCTCACATGGATACTTCAGTTTCTTTACCTCCTTATATCATCCCTGTTTCAAACACAACAAACTCACCTACTTTTGAGCATGTCATCCTAAATCCATTTACCACACTTTTCTCATCGCAATCCACTGATCAACCCAAACCTATTGATGAACCTGAAACTGATACTGACGAAGGAGGTTTTGGCAGTACTTTCGATGATTTGGAATTTGATGATGAGGAAGAGAATTTTCCAGATCACATGTTAATGTCCATGAAGAAATTAAATATTCTTAACAAGAAGTTGAATTCGATTATTCAATCTCAAGCTGATATGGGGGAAGTAATTCGGTGTCAAGTATGGAGATTGACGGTTTGCTCAAAGCTTTCGAAGCCAGAATGATTACCAAATGTTCTGGATTGATTAAAGACTCTGAATCACACCTCATGGAGAAGTTGGACCAGAATGATAAGAATAATGAGTTACGTGTGAAGTCTCAGACTTCGAATTTTGTGGGAGAAGTTAAAGATTTTCGACGATTGGCTAAGGAACGACATGTATTGTTTGTTCAAGATGTGAAGAAGGTAAGGGAGGATGTTAATTTGCAAATTCGAGAACTTCGTGAAGACATGACGCAAGAGATTGCTAGTGTTCAAAAAGACTATGCGTCTCTCAATCAGAAGATGGATATTATTTGTGATGCAGTCACAAAGTTTGTTAAATTATACGAAAGTTTGAGTCCTCAAATTACTCAACTTTCTACGAATGATAGTCAAAGCTTTGTGGAAGTTATTAGCTTGTTAAAGGAGTTGAAAGCACTCGTTGTCAAGCCTGCTCCATCTTCGCTTATTACTCCTGAGTTCTTATCCCAGAAGTTTATTCAATTTGAAGCTATTCTGCATAAACAATTAGCTCCGTTATCCGGGATTTCGAATTTATTACCAACAGATGTCTTGCCTGTTGTCACAGGGGTGCAAGGGGTAGAAAGGAAGGTTGGTGATGGAGTTTCGCATGAAGAAGTGAAGGTTGTTGGAAAAGTTTTCTCAACGAAAATTCCAACAACAAAGCCAATTGTTTCAACTGCTAGTCATGTGACTTCGACAGTGATAACTACAAAGCCAATTGCCAAAGGCATTGTGTTTGGTTCTTCAGCTGAAGGTGGTAGTAGTTCAAAACCAAAGAAAGTTGTTGATGATTCTTCGAAACAAGACAAAGGGAAAACGATTGTTGTGGAGAAATCGAAAGAAGAGAGGAAAGCCGAAGTGGAAGCTGAAATGGAGAAACAAAGGGTGATTCAAAGTATTATGAGACTTCGTGCAAATGATCCTCCTGGAATGAATAAGGGTGATCCAAGCAAGCATTACAATTACGAAACTATTAAAGCAAAAGTTACTTACAATCATATGTATGCTTTCGAGAAAAAGCCCAAGCAAAGCTATGCTGTTACTAATACAGATATGAGCCAGTTAGATTTTCCAGTGAACGAAATGATGTTCATGATGGCTCAGTACAGGATTGCTGAAAAGTTTGATAATGATGATGACTACAGCTATATGAAACTTAGGTTTCATGCTGTTCTTGGGAAAGTTCCAGAGGAGATATGGTCGTTGGTGAAGATTAAGAAGGTGATCAGTATTACGAAGGATGTTCTGTTCGAGAACATGATGCAAAATTTTTCGTTTTCATGTTGCAAGGACGAATGGTCAAATCGGTGATTTCTCGGTTGCAGATTTTCCTTTAATGAACTTGTATGATCTTATACAAGTTGCAATGCTTTTGAAGGACAAGAATGCTTCGCATCTTCAAGGAACAGATCCAGAAGTGTTTAGACTTGGTCTTGCCCACATCAAAATATTCATAGATAATTACTATGAGTGTTTGGCCCTTACTGATGTGGAGTTGGCTACAACATTGGGGAATGAAGTGAAAGTCCCTATGGAAGTTTCGAAGACCCAAACTGAGTTGAAGAAATTAGTTGATGGGGAGATTTTCTTGAAACCATTTGGATTGGTCTTCGCAGGAAAGGATAAGAATGGAAAGGCGAAAAGATTCTTGTTCCAGGCAAGTGAAGTGGAGAGGTACACTACATCCCAGTATACGAACTTTATTGTTCGTATGAATAACTGTTCGAAAAACAACCTAGGGGATAAGAAGGAGTTAAAGAAGATTATTTCATGGTATACAGAGATACGAAGAGTGATGTTGTTTGCTGCAAAGATTCTCTCACCTTGAGAAGTTCGACTTGATTACAAAGGGGGAGATTGTAGGGTCGAAATATGTTGTAATCAGTCGAAATCTGTTTAATTGTTCTCTTCGTATGTTTTGTTATGTATTTGCTAAGATGTCTATTGTTCGAAGCTTAACGTCTAAGCCTTAGTATTTTTTGTACTTCCTGTTTCCTATAAATAGGGCTGAGCATTGAGTTGATAGTAAGAGTTAGAGAGTGATTGTAAAAGTTCACCCTTTTTACTATCGTTTTTGTACTCGTGTTCATCGGAAGTAATAGAGCTGAAACTAGATTATATTTACTTCTCGTGTTCAAATTACATTTGATTTACGCTGATTTGTTTCATACTCGATTATCAATTCTACAAGCCACATGATGAAATTAATTACTAAAAAATGTTTGATGTTTTTTGTTGTGAAGTGTCTATAAGGTACAACGTCAACCATACTGAAGTGGGTTATACTTACAGGGTAACCGTATCGAGTGTTGGATTCTTGGACATGAAGATCAACCTTATTCACCATCACATTACTGTTAAGAAAAATCTTATCTAGAAAGGAAAAATGTGTTGACTAATTAGATTTATCCTTTTAAAAAATGATAAATAATTAAAGAAAATTACAATTAAAGGGAAATAATAAAATGTATATGAAAGGATGAAATTACCCCTGCTCTAATAGTAGAAAAGTGACAAGAGGGGCCAATAAAGTAATGAATTGAAACCCCAAGGAACAATGAGGTAATGTTTTTCATAGTTGTCTTTAAAATATGAATTTTTGTAAATTACATGGACCAATTATCAAATTTTGTCTAGAAATAATATATTAAAATAGCTGTGTAACCATGGATACGAAAAAAAAAGTTTAGAAGTATTACTATTTAGGGAAAATGACCTTTTAGGGTAATAAAGTCTTCTACAAGTATTCATTTGGTCATCTTTCTTTTTTTTGTATTTCATTTACCATTGATCTTGTTGTATATGTTCAAAAGATGACATTATTACCGCGTATTGAAGGTTTCCGACGAGTATGTCACTCCGGTCGTCTTCTCCGGCGAGTTTTGCGGCCAAATGCTTTTAGCAACAATTTCCGATCTATAAACGATTTCAAGAACACTCACTTCCATCTGTTCGTTTGTTTCTGTGAACGATTTTAGTTTTCATGTTCTTTGTTCATGTTTAATTTTTGCGTTCATGTTCAAGAACACACAAAAAATGATTGTGTGTGCTCATCAGTGAGTTTGAATGTCAAGAAAGCGAAGGATTGAAAGTGTGTGTCGGATCTGAGAGGTGTTCATCTTCATCGTGTCCAACAAATCCCAGAAATCAAAATTCTCAAGTTCAATAAATCGATTTGTCTCGGCAATGTTTATGTGTTCTTCATATTTACCTGTTCAGAAACATTTTGGTTTGCACACAAATCTTCAAAGATCCCAACAAAAAGCTACATAGATCAAACGGTTTGTTATTGTTCTTGAAAACCCAGAAATGAAACCCTTGAAATCGAAGGTTTCAGTTCTTTGGGTTTGAGTTCCAGAAATAAACACAGATGAAATAAAGATCTTCATTTCTTCAGTTCTTGAGTCGTGAGTTCTAGAAATAAACGAACCCTAGATTTTAGGGATTTTGATTTTCAAGTTTTGGGTTTGGATCTAGATTCTTGTGAGTTCTTCAACCCTTGGTTTTGAAATCGATTTTAAGAAGCACACCACAAAAAAATCTAGATTTTAGATTTGTGTATATGTGTGTTTGTTCAAATTGCCCAGAAAATTCTAGTGTTCATCGCAAATTTTATGTTTGGCCGGAAAATTCATAGGCTTACCGGAAAATTAATTTTGACCGGCTAAACTTATGTTAGCCGGTTATAATGGTATAGTAAAACGACGCCAACAAATTAAATGGTAAATGGAATAAAAAAAATACCAAATTAATACTTGTTGAATACTTTATTACCTTAAAAGGTCATTTTTCGGCTTATTTATGATCAGTTAAATGTAGGGGTGTTCAAAACCGGATATCCGAAAATTCGGATATCCGAATTTCGGATATCCGAAAATTCGGATAGTTGATTTTTGATATCCGAATCCGTATCCGAAATTCGGATATCCGAAATTTCGGATACGGATTCGGATATTAAACCGAATATCCGAATTTCATTAGTTTTAAATAAATAAAATAAACCCTCCAAGAACAAGAACGTTTCCATGCATTTGTTAGGTATAATAAGACTTCATTTGGTCCAATTAAATGCAAGTTACCTCATGATACCTGAAGATCTTGAGAAATCAAACTCAAATTACTAAAATCAACATAAAAAAGGTAACATTTATACCATCCTCACTTTGCGTACCAAGTAAAAATGTTAATAATTTGTCTTTTTGAATTTCAAATGAAAAAATCCAATGCATTAAAACTATTTTTAATAATTTTTTATATTATATATTTCGGATTTCGGATATCCGAAATATCCGAAATTTTCATATTTTAATATCCATATCCGAATCCGAAAAACCGGATATCCGAATTTCGGGTATCCGAATTTTCGGATATCCGATTTTTCGGGTATTTTCGGATCGGATTTTCGGATTTTTCGGATCGGATGTTCAGATGCGGATCTTTTTGACCACCCCTAATTAAATGTTACGTTAACTTTTTTAAAAGAGCTCAAAAGTCCTTCGCTTTTTGATTTTCATAGCACATGAACCCAAAAAAAAAAAAAAAAAAAAAAAAAACCCTTATTTTGCTTTTTCGTCGAACATCCACAGCTGAGTTTGCTGTAGAAAACAATCAAAAACCTCATATTTTGCTTTATTTCTCAAGAATGATAGTTATATTTCGAAGATCGAAAGCCTATCACAAGCAAGGTATGTAGTTTAATCCATTGTGTGCTTCAATTTTGAAACTTTATCGGAGAAAACAGTTCAATGTACCTTTACCAGAAGACCCAACCATTTGTTTTTTCTAATTTTAGCCATGAATAAGTCGTTTAAAAACCCTTATAGTTCTTTTAGCAACAGCAACTCAAAAGATTCACAAATTGAATACATTTCTTACAATTCTTGGTACTTACGAAGTATAAACGGGGCTCCTAGGTTAGAAGATTCGCAACAATATATTCAAAATTGAAGACTGTAATTTTGTGATTAATTGTGCAGCTAAGATTCAGTCATGGCCTGTCAAGAATCAACAAGTTTAGTAAACAGAATACGAAACAACCAGCACCAATTTCGCAAAACTCTGGCGAAATCTGTTTGTTCTTTTGTGTAATTGATTTGCAAACCTTTATGAACTTCTCTGAGAGCAAATTTCGCCTGTAAAGTGGTGCACACACACGACCTGGACAACAAAATGCCGGATAATCAAGTAAGTGTTCTTGAAATACTCGTTTTCTTGCAAAATCAATGTGTTTGGTTAGTGTCTACTGCTAGTTTAGTCGTAATCAGCTCTACAAAATATAAGTTTTATTTTGTGAAATGTTCTATTTTACATTTCTTTAGGCTATTTTTATATCAACTAACATATTAGGGACCTTGTGAATTGTGGTAGTGGTAGTATATGAACATATTTGGGTATGTAAACTGTATTAAGGTTAAAATTTCCATACAACTTATTTCACAAAGTTTGGTATTGCTTCTTGTGAAATATCATATTTCATCTTTTTCTTAGAAGGTTTAGGGTTTTCAAAATGTCTTAATTCCAATTTTTTACATTCCTTAAGTATGTCCTAATCGGTCCATTAACGTGTCCAATTTGCGAAATATGTTTAAAAGGGTGATTACTACGAAGCCGCCTTGACTATCAAGGCCAAGTTAGGCATTGCAAAAGAGATCTTGAAGAAGTTAAAGGCGTCCTCCGATGCGCGTTTAAAGATGTTCAAGACCACATGTTTTGGTCGGTGGTTAGATATTTCAACTGCGTATGGGGACCCACTACTCGTCCATCTAATGCTGCAAACTCAAATCTACCCGGAGCCGGAGCCTGCGGAGATGTGGTTTCGTGTTGGAGGATACGAGTTGCGTTTTGGGCAAATGGAATTTTGTCTTGTCACTGGATTCCGATTCGGCCACATTCCTTCGTCATCGGAGACGTCCAAGAGTTGGTTTAGGATCCGGTTGTTTTCACGGATTCCTTCGTATCAATCGTTGAAGGTCTCCGACTTATTACAAGTCTTTCGGAGTAAAGAGTTTGCAGAGTTAGCAGACGTGGATGCGGTCCGTATATGTCTTCTCATCTTGTTGGAGGTTGGATTCATGGGCCATGAGGATAAATCGGTGGTCTCTGATCGGCTCCTATGCCTTGTTGATGACTTAGTCTCGTGGAACAAGTATTATACAATTTGTTCTTTTACGTGTACAATTTATATCAACTATTTAAGTAAGGAAGCTGATTCGTGCACAACAATTTTTCTCCATACACAACAACTTGTGCTTTAAAATATTGTATTATACAACTATATAAAACATAAATTGTTGTGTGTGGAGAAAAATTGTTGTGTATGATCACTTCCCTTTAAGTAATCAATCAATTGTGTTATGGGACATGGGACAGGTACCCATGGGGGTCGTATATCTGGCCCACCACCTACAACCAGTTGAATCGTGCGTTGTCAAAACGCGGACACCATGTGGGCGTTAGGACAACGCGTAAGAGGGTAGCGAAGTACACTCTCACAGGATTCGTCTACGCCTTCAAGGTTCGATGATATCTTTTTATTATCTTTTAAGTTTTTTTTAATCATAAATCCGTTGGTTGACGTTTTCCATCGCATGACTTAAAAGATATGGATCTTCGAGATGTTTCCTATTGCTAGAGAATTCGCGATGCGTGAAAGAGATGTGATCCCTCGGGCCATTGCATGGAGGAGGACCCACGCACTGTCGTGGGATACGTGCCAACAATTTCTTGATGTAGACACGGTACATTTGTCAAATTTAACAACACTGAATTACTTTTCCTTAATCGTTATATTAACAAATTAACTAGTTAATTGTGTTATTAACTATTAGGATGGGCGTCACCCTCAAACGGAGCTGACGCCCACAATAGACGAACAGTCTGCTGAATGGTGGATAGACAGTTGTCGTTTTTTTAACGATGTTTCCGAAAATCTTTCGCCATTGTCAAAGAAGAGTCGTCTAGAGCCACCATCGCAAAATAATGAGGTAAACATTTGAAGTTTTACAAGTTTACTATTTTTTTTATTTTTTATTTTTTTTAGAACAGCTAACTCACACATCCACGAATCCTAGTACTAAATCTACACCTGTTGTCTATAATGGGACTTGAACCCTCGACCAGTTTGGAGAGGGACACATTTCCAATACACCTGATACCGTTGTTTGTTAACTAATCAAAATATTTAAAAAAAATAGATATGGGAATGCAGGTTGGCTCGGATGATATTGAAGTTGAAGAGCAGAAGCCACCTTTGATTTTTCGTGATGGTCGACCACAAACACATCCGGACCCCGCAAATGAATCTTCATACACTGCGACACCATCAATGTCACATCCGGTCCCACCACCACACCCGGTGGCGGACACGGTTCCGGAAATATCCAATTTTGGTACGGCTTTAAGTCGTCCATTTTTCATGAGTTTTTATTACGGTGGTAATATTGAATATGAGAATGGAGAAATCAACCGTGATGAATCAACATCAACTTTTACGATTCCAGCTAGGCATAAAATGCGGTATCAAGAATTTGTTGATTTGGTTTATGCAGCAGTTGGGGTTGGGGTTGAAAAAGAAAAGTTTAAGTTGAAGTTCACTTTACATTTTGAACTTTGTGGGAAACCTAATTCTTCGCTTATTACGAGTGATGGGACTCTGGACTTGATATTTTTTCTTGCTGAGAAAGATGAAGGTTTTAGGGCTCATATTCATTTTGAAATAGTGGAAATTTTGCAAGGAAAATAACTTTGCCTAATGGATCATTAGGTATATCCTTGTTTCTATAATGTGTATACAAATAGCGTGATGTTAAACAAAATTGATCACTAGGTTGTTTCTCTTGTGTGTATACAAATAGCTTGATGTTAACGAATAAAATGTATTTGTTATTTGGTGCTGGATAGTGTTAGAAGTTGTAAGTATTGTTGTTTACATGTATGTTGCTTTACAATTTGGATATAGTGGTAACTGGTAAACAGAATAAAAAATCAAGCCTAATTGGTAAAAGACAAGATACATTTACCATTCGATTAATCCTTGGCATATATTGTTTTGTCTGTTAACCATTTAATGTAGTAAATTTATCGTTGTTATTGTTTAATTTAAAATTCACATAGTATTAGACAAATATAATTGTTGTACTATTATGTATTCATTCATTAGGGGGTGTTTGGGATTATTTTTTTAAGCCTTAAAGTTTTCTTTATAAAAGAACTTTTTGTAAAAGGTCTTTTTCCATTTGTAAAAGGTCTTTTTCCAAAAGAAGTGATTTAAAATGTGTTTGGATGGACAAAAGACAAAACTTGTTTTTAAGAACTTAAAAAGCCACAAAAGTCACAATTTTGTGACTTTTAGAATCATATATTTTTCTTTTGCCCAAAAGTTGTTTTTAAAAAAAATTTCAATTTCTCAAACATCTTTTGAATTTTTTTGACTTTTTGAAAAAGTGAGTCAAAAGTTGTTTTTTAAGCAATCACAAACACCCTCATAGTTAGAGAGGTGTACATGTAATTTATTTACCGATATATATCACGTAACTCTCCTGTAACTTCTACAGAGAGTTTCGTTAACTTTCATGGTATCAAGCCTTGTAACTCTCTCACCCTTCTTTTTCCCTCCCTCTAAAACAGTCCCTCCCATCTTCTTCCTCTCCCACCCATCGGCTTTCCTCTCCCTTCAGCTTCATCATCATGGCCGACTCCAATGATTCCTCTCTCTCCATGAACAACATCTTGCATCTCATCACCATTCGCCTTTCTTCATCAAATTACCTTCTGTGAAAGAATCAACTGATCCCTCTTTTTACAATACCAGCAACTTCTTGGTCATGTTGACGGCTCCGTTTCGTCCCCACCGCCCTCCATTTTGGTTGATAACATCCCGACCTTGAATCCGTCCTCTTTTACAATAGTAAATTTTGTTATATTAAATAGAGCAAATTGTAAGTTTGTTAAGTTTTATATTAAATTATAAGAATTGATAGTTTGTTATATTGATTGGTTAAATCAGTCTACAACTCAACGATTGATTTGGGTGTAATATATATATAGATATATAATATATATATATATATATATATATATATATATATATATATATATATATATATATATAGATATTGTAGGAAAACGACTTGGTATTTTTTAAGATGCTTCAATTAATTGTCACCCAAAGCTTTAGGTTAAACCATTTAGTAACTCAAAGTGACATCAGTAATATATATATATATATATATATATATATATATATATATATATATATATATAGATATATCTATATATATATATATATATATAGCTGCCGAGTTAGATAAATTGAATCATTGTTTAATTGAGTCAAGCCAAACCTCATAAAAGACCACGTAAAAGACATAAAAGGCGATAAGTCTGAATTAAAGGGTTATAAATTGTAGTATCAACAGTCTCATTCGATAATCGAATATCAAGTCAGACCAAACTTCTTATCATATCCATTTAAAGGTTGGATTAGGTTGATTATTAGAATATTCTTAATTGCTTCATCTTATATTTAATATTATAATTGTAATACAAAAAACTTATTATTTATATGAGAATTACCTAACTTCTTATCAAACAGCTTCTAACTTAATATATACAAAAAATGTTTTTTCGAAATTCACCCCTGTTTTGTGATTATTTCACACATATTATTCAATTATATATATATATCTATATATATATATATATATATATATATATATCTATATATATCTATATATATATATATATATTTCCACATATTATTCATTATATATATCTCTCGTCTCCCTTCTCTATCTCCTCTAGTCATAAGTTTTTTTTTTACGGTTATAAGATTAAGATTATTCTAATCATCAAACTAATCCAACCAAAATTTTCTAATGAATACTAATTTCTCTTTTTTCTACTTACACAGCCCAATTAAACCTTATTTTTATTCCCATTAGCGATCAAACCCAAATATTTGTTATGAAATAAATATAATTTATGATTATTTTTTATTAATAGTTATTACAAATATTAAAAGGATTAAAAATAGATAAAAAATAAGGTTATTTTTATATTCATCAAAAATACCTAATAACATAGAAGAATCAAAATTTGAAACAAAACTACTTGGATACAAAACATGGTAGCAAATACAAAAACAAAGAGGTTAAAAATGAAGAATTGGGAAATAAATATGAAATATATCGATATTATATTTATTAAGAGAAAATTTTATTTTTTTAATTAAGACAATATTAAACTCATTAATATTATCCTTGCAGGTGTTTTTTTTTTGTTTAGTGGTGGTATATTTGGTCTTTTCGAATTAATATCATTTTTGGTAAAGATGAACCTAAAAAAAGTCTTATTTTTTATGATATTGTCTCTCGGTCCTATTTTTGGTGTTCAAATAGGTCTAAGTTACATGTTAATTGGACACTGTGGCTTAAAAGCCCTATTTGTGCTTTCTTGTAATGTTTTCAGACTTGTTATTTTTCTAGCTCCTTGCTGGTTTTTAGTTAATATATTTCTGCCGTTCAAAAAATATATATTAAACTCATTAGATTATCAAGTTTTATCATATACTTATATAGGGATACTATCACCAAGGCCCTACAAACTCTTGGTTTTTTTTGTTTTAAAAGGCCCTTTATGTTTATTTGGTACTTATGGGCTTAAAATCCAATTTTACGTATTAAAAAAGTCATATTAAACAAAATGAATTGGTGAACCTGTCATCTTTTGTCTAGTCAACCAAGTTTTTTTTTCATATAAGGTAAAGGCAGTGCCATCTTATTAATAGAGAGTGCCATATGGGACCTATAGGAGAATAAAATGTCATGATCGATTCACAGTGTCTTATTTCTCCTCTCAAGCAAGAGCCTTCTCCCCTGGTTATGTGTGTTGAGCTTTCACGATGGAATAATACTTCAAGGTCGATCTTCCCTTCCAAAAAAGTTCATTAGGAACCCATTTTGTTACCTTTATGGTATACATCATGTGTTCGAGGATGTTGATTTTGATGGGATGGACCTAGATTAATGTGTTGCATTTCTTGAAAGATTTACATAAGAGAAGTATAAGAAACTGTAATATTGTTTGCCAAAATCATGATAACGTGAAGGATTAAGGTCGTTTCTAATGAGCTTCAATATGTTGAGTTCATTAATATTGCGTACAGTTGTGGAGTCCAACTGTCGATGTATGTGGACCATTTTGGCACTAATATGCATGAATAGATTTGATGAAGTTGTTACTTCTGAGGAATACCATTCAGGTGTAGTATATTTCTCAAGAGAAATGTATGATGACATTGACCTTAAATGATTTCAATATTCATGTAAACAAGACCAACATGATTCTTTTTTAGTAAGTTGTGGCCTAAGGGAAATCCCACTCCAGAAAAAGTACCTTTTGATGATCCATAAAAAGTATATAAGGATGATAAAGATGTTGACGCAATTGAGAATTTTCCCACATGTTGATGTAAAAACAACATCTTGTTAATATATATACATTGGAAGAAGCAGAATCATGTACTAGGTATGAGGTTTGTGAACCCTAAACAATTAAAACACATGCTTTGCAATTGTGATATTAATAATGGCTATCAATTATGTTACAAAATGATAGTAGAAGACTTTTGGTTAAATGTTGTGGTAGTGATTGCATCTTTATGTTGGGTTATGAGCAAACAAAATCCACAAAAGGCACATAGCGGAAGCATACATAAAAAACGATCTCATGAACCTAATAGCATATCCATGTTCAACCAATCTAATGCAACTAAAAGAAACAACCATAGAGGGATAAAAGAATATGTACATCCATAGCCTTTGATTTCTTTGGTCTAGCCAAATGATCAATGTGTAGAACCCAAAGTAGGATCCCCCTGACGTAGTCGAACCCAATGAAACAAATCAGTAACTTTTGACAACCACCGGAACTACAAAGTACCAAACCCTAAACTATTGGGGGTTTCTCACGAAGGACACGACACACAGAACAAGGGTACGTGACACATAATCAATAGATCGGGTTTCTTTTGAGAGGGGTAAGAGGTAGCCGAAATTCTTAGGGTTTTATCACTCTTATTTTTTTTTCCAATGCTCCTTTATTTATAGGGGATGGTTTAGAATCCTTATGGGATAATTAATTGGTCACTAAGTAATTATCCATAAGATTTAACTTTCAAATCTTTTTACACTTCAACCCCTTAAGTCTACAAGTTTCTATTAATTAATTAAACATTTAATTCATTAAGAAACTAGATCCCTTTTATCCTCTCATGTAATATATTGCTTATATTTGTCCTTGCTTGGAACCCAAAAGGACTCTACCATTATTAGTAATATTACAAACTGGTTTGTGTGTGTACTATTTCCAACAGTCTCCTACTTGTATAAGTCACTAACATTGTGTGGTCTAATATTCACTAATAATAAACATAAAGTGTGTCATCCAATGCAACTATTGTACTTATTGTGACCTAGTTGTAAAATAGCATCTAGATAAATTGATTAAATATTCCTTCGTGCTTTAAGATATCTGTATGAACCTGAGTCATAGATAACATGTCAATATTAGTGCTCAAGATTATGTTTTCTGATAGAGATTTGTGATGAACACATCAAACTGTATTGTTGATCGGATAAAATCAGTCTCAGCTTAGCTAAGCATTTTATTGTCAACACCAAATCATCAAGGGGCCCAAAGATATCAACTTCCCTTGTTAAGATAGAATGACCAAATAAACTTTAACTACTGTAACGCCTGGTTCTTGGTACGTATTTAATTAAGAATTATTCATTTTTTCTAAGGGACTCGACAAGTTGGAGGCCCCAAACTCATCGAGTAGGAATTGGAGATGTTGGACGCGAGACTTGAAGTCTACTAGTTTGTGATGAACACATCAAACTGTATTGTTGATCGCGGGACTTGAAGTCTACTTGACGAGTCGTTGAGCCTCGACTCGACGAGTAGGGCT